TGTTCAGACCTAAATCTTGCGCACGTGCTTGAAATGCTACTGGCTTTGCTCAGGGATGCGCGGCAGTAGCAGGATTTATCCTGCTATCCGAAGCTTTTAAGCAACTTTGAATCTGGGCATTTTACTCGCCATGCCCTTCACACACCTCCAGGCGCATTTGTCCGCACTAAATTGGGGCAATGACGCAAACTTGAACGAAACTGCAAGAAATTCGCAAAACGGCAAGTATTGATTGGAACGGCTGAAATTAATTGAAACGGCAACATTTTCTGCAGTTTGGCCAAACGGCAGAAATTACGTACCCTCAGAAGATCCAGGTATATTGAATATGTCTTGGGGAATGGTTATTTATGAGGGTAATCTAAAGTGTTGATTGATTTTTTAGAATAATTAATTTTAATAATTTAAGTGAATAATTGATAGAAGATTGTAGGTTAAGCATTGGAATAGGATTATGAGGTATTTTCAAGTTTGTTTATGAATGGAGATGGGTTGATGGTGTTGTGATTTTGGAAAAGTGTTTGTGATGTATTATGGAGAATTATTTATATTGAATAGATTAAATTTGGTTTTTGGAATATTATTGAGTTTTATATATATAAATATAAAAAAAATAATTATGAAAAAAAAGTGATAATGAAGAAGTATCTATAATGAATATTTAATTTAGTATGTTAAAAAAAAATGAATATAATAAATATAAATTTAATTTTGTTTTAATAAAATGTAGTTAAATTTAAAAAATATAATTTGTATTTTGAGAAAGATTGAATTTAATTTATTGTTTTTTTTAAGGGTTTATGATTTGGGTTATATTTTTGGAATGGGAAAATATATAATTTAAATTATATATATTTAAGTATATTATTTTATTTAAAAAGAATAAGAATGAATAATATTATTTAAATTTTTGAGAGTTTTTGTTTTAGTTTACCGATATTATTTTTTGTTTTTTTTATTTTTATTTTTTGTTTTTTTTGTGTTGTTTGTAACTTTTTCTCTTTTTTTAAGATTTTATTATAATTAATAGTAGAATTATAAATGAAGAAAAATATTATATTAAAATTCCAAAATATTGGATGAATTGTTGAGGTTTCATAGTATTTACCTTAGATTTTGAGAATTGATTATACATTAGATTTAATATTATTATTTTTTTATGGTTTTATTATAAGCTTTTGAATTATAATTCTAATAAAAATCTAAAATTCGATTATGATTATAAATTATAAATAAAAAAAAATACAAATAAAATATAATAAAATAGAAATGTAATAAGAAGAGATAGATAATGAAAAGGATATGAAAATATATTTATTTGAGTTTATGAATATTTTTGCTAAATATTTTATTATAAAGTCTTTTTATTTCTTATATTTTAGAGATTAATAGTTTTGACGATGAAAAAGAAGAATTAGGAAAGGAAAAGAATAAATTTAATAAAAACAAATTAATATTATAATTTTAATAATAAAAACTAAGATAATAAGAAAAGACATATGAAATATAAATATAATAAATTCTAATAAATAATAAAGATTAATAAAAAAGGAATTAATTTTAATAAATAATAAAGATTAATAAAAAAAGGAATTAATTCTAGATAAAATAATTCTTGAAAAGATATAGGGTTGGAATCTTTGGTAGTATTTGGATCACCTAATTTTCGTTCGTTTATTATGTGTTTTATTATTTATTCCCACCTTCTTGCTCTATGAGCCGGTGGGTTACAAGATAAGGAAAAGAGATTTAAAGAGATGAAAGAGATTCCATACCTCCCATCTTTCTCCTCTCTGTAAAGACTAAAATGGAAAGATATGATTATTAATAGGAAATGAATTAAAAATAAAATATTCTTTATTTTTCCTAATTTTAATTAACAATAATAAACCAAAATAAAAGAATAAAGATAAATAAATAAAAAAGATACCAAAAGATAAAAAAATAAACAAGTTTGAATCATTTCCATCATAATCTCTAAGTTATTTCGTTTATATTTTAGAATTAATTATTTTGGGAATTAGAAGGGTTGGATGGAATGAAGGGGTGGATATTGGGTGGCGAGGCCTAATTCAATATAATGTGTTCTTGTTTACCATCTCCCCTTCATTTCCTTTGTTATGTCGTATCGCCTATCTTTCTAGTCCTTTCCTATCGTTTAACCTAGAGATACAGAGAGATGAAGGAGGGAGTATATGAGATCATATTATATCATTCATTCCATCATTTCACATATTAATATCTCCGGAGGAATTAGAGATGGAATATGGGGTCATTTCTTCCTTCATTCGCGGCTTAGGGCAGAGACCTGACACACAGCCGCTCCTCACTATGAAAGAAGTGATACAGGATTCTCTTTTTCCGTCTCTTCCCTATCATTGACGGAGAGAATCCTAAAGGTAACAAATAATCCTGGAAAGCGAGGGAGATGTCGTAAGTTGTGTTTATGAGAATGTTTTCTTTTTCTTTCCTATTCCCTCGATTCAAGGATTTGGAAGTGTGTGGTGTGTCTCTGAGAATTCCTAGAATGAACGATTATGACGGAAGGGAGTGAGAGACCGTGAGTGATAGGAAGTTGAGCAAACCCATATAACACCCGTTCGCCTCCATTCGCTCTCATGTCACCCTTTCATTTCCCTCTCCATCTCTTCTCTCCCTTCGTGAGTTGGAGAGGAGAAAGGGAATGATGAAAGGGAGATAGCGGCCAATATGAAAGCCGCTCACATGCCACACGGTGAGTCTCTTCCCTTGGTAGCAATCTCTGGATTCTCTTGCCTTGGCGGTAGGACCTGACGAAGGAAGAAGCCAAGCAAGGAACGACCCGGTTCTTGGAAATAGAGGAATCACTTTATTCTTATCTCTTCGTTATAGCGGTTAACCTTTCCTTTTCCTTTCGTATACCATCAATCTCAGAGATGAATCGCTATTACAGAAAGGTTCATAAGCTGAGATAAGATGGGAAAGGAAAAGCATGGCAGGTCACTCTCTTTCACCTCCTTCCTAGCTCTTGGCCTGGTCGCTAGGGAGGTGTGATAAGAGGAAGAGAATGGATATATGGATGAGGAGGGAATTTCTTTCACCCATCCACTCACTTATTGTTATGTCCTTCCACTTCTTCCAGCTCCTCATTATCACGAAGGAAATGATTGAGAAGAAAGGAATAAATGGGATAAGGATATATGGGACATAATATCACTTACTCACCAGCTATTTCTCTCTTCTTGGCTGGTTAATAGGTGAGTGATGTCCCTCTCTTTCCCTGTCATTGCCTCGCGAGTTAACTTTAGAGACGAAAGAGGAGGGAATGAAAGAGGAATCAGGTTACACCGTCCTTTCTCTTCGATCATTCCGTTATTCATTCTTCCCGCCACAAAGAAAAGGCGGGGTAAGGGAAAGGATATGATCGGGATAAGTGACCGAAAGAAACGATCTTATCCACACCTTTCCCTATCCTTCCTTTCATCCTAATCGTTTCATCTGGATACGAGACAATGGGATAAAGAGATGCTATCCCTTTCCATTTCTTCCTATATTCATCGATTCTAAGAGATATATAGAGTGGGGAAAGGAAAAGGAAAAAGATGTCATTCACCTATCCACTCCGCCGGTGATAGAGAGGCGAGAGAGGAATAGGATTATATCTCTTAGTCTATTTCTTGGCGGTTGGAAGACCCAGGAGGTAGATAATAGGAAGGGAAAGGGATGGAATATAGATGAAAGAGGATTTATTCGTTAGCGGTTTCTATTTCTCCTATTGTATCTTTCTTTTTTTTTCCTTTTTTTTTTTTTCATTTCCTTCTCTTATATCTATCTTACGGCCTTATCTAATGATGAAAAAGGCTGGGAAAGGAATGGATGGAGATAGAGAAGTGAGGAAATGATATGATTGGAGGTATTTCCTATCTATTAATCTGGAAATAGGTAAGCCTTTATTATATTGTCGTTATAGTTTGTTAAAGGAGTTGATAAGAAAAAAAAAAATGTTTTATGTTTTATTTACTAATTAAAAATTATAATTATAAAGGCTAAGGAATTTATTATTTATTATCTAGATTGATTTTTGGAATTTTCGGTATATTATTAATCTTTATAAAAATAGAATTATATTCATTAAGAAATAAAATTATATCTCTAAAAAATTAGAATTTCTATAATATAAGCATTATATTGCATAATTTTTTCAGAATCTTCTTTTTAGTAATGCCTAACATGTTTAAAGAATTATTTTCGAAATTTTATATAAATAATAAAGTTTCATTAATAATATTAAATCGAAAATATTAACAAATGTCATTAGCCCTTTTATTCGGTATTAGCCGATTTCTTTTAAAATTCAAAATATTCTAAACTCGAAATTCATATATATTTTTTGCTAAACATATTTTTCCAAAAACACAATATCTATAACAAATTAAACATTCAAGTATATATTTTACTAAAAACAATACCCAAAAATCCATCTAAATATATTTATCTATAACTTTAAAAAAAAAACATAATATAAATCAATTTCATTTTATTATTCATCAAAAATATAATATATTAAAATGTTTTATATATAATAATAATTAAAATAATTAATTCAATATTTTTTTAAAAAAAAAAACATAAAAAAAAAAAAAATGTTAATAATTCATTATAATTAATATTATAAAATTAAAAACCAATTTTAATAATCAATTATATATATATATATATGTTTTAATTATTTTAATTCAATCATATATAAAAATTTAAAAAATATTTAATATCAAATAATTCCAATATAAAAAATTATTACCTTTAATTAATATTTATGCAAAGTAAATATAATTTGTTTCTAAAAATTATTTATATATATTTCGAATTTCGTAATACCAAAGCCCAATTATATTTATATAATTATTTATAAATCAATATATATTTATAATATAATTTATTTGTGTTATGTTTTGGTTTTTGTTTTCAATCGGATTTTATATTGATTTTTGAATATTTGAATATTTTTAGGTTTCTTTCTATATGGTTGATCAATCTTAGTATGTGTTGTTAATTCTCTATTCGTTGCATGTATTCCCTGCTTGTCTTGATTCCTGCAGCTTGTTCAAACCTGAGAGAATTGACCTCAACCCTTCAAGTCAAGCAAGCTCACTCTGCAAAGCGACTGTCCCTGTTTTTACTGGTTCGTGAAAGAATGTGTGGCTTGGCCTACGGCAAGAGACCAATGCCCCTTTGGCCCGCATTCGTTGCAACTTCACAAGTGCAAAATACTGCGCTGCTGAGGGAGGCGCCTAATCTGACGTGTCTCCCGGTAGCACGAACCCGTAGCTATCTGCCCTGAGAGTTGTGCGAAGGCAAACCCGCTCGAAAGGCATCGAAACCAAGTGCTCGACTTGGATTGGCTTTTGATTCTTCATCTTCTTTCACCCAGCCCCCGTCCTGCAAAGTCAAGCTGAGACACAGCAAAAAGGGTGAGGTGAGGAAATAAACCAATGTCTGTTTTTTTCGACACGCAAAGCTCTTCTTCTGGCCGTATATTTCAATTTTGGACGCTGCGATGCTCAGCTTCTCCTTCTTCTCAATTGCCTCAGGCTATCAGAGTATGACAATGGTCTCAACACCAACGCAACCAGCTTCTGAGCACACGGCTTCCTTAAGCTCATCCACCTCCCCGCAAAGAACATCTTCAAAGGCACAACCAAGCTGAAGTAAGTCCTTCATAAAGTGGCGCAGCTGAGGCCGCTGCATTTGCCAAGACTCCTTTGACTTGAAATGTGTTGCCGGCAACTTCGAACTTCTCGCCGTCCTCCAACTTCACAATGCACACTTCACGCAGATTTCTTCCGTTGAAATGTCTGGTAGTGAAACAGAAGCAAAGAAACACTTGAACCTGCAAAGCTGAACTTTGAAATTCAGGGTTGGCAGAGACCCCTTCCGAGAAACCACTTGGCTTTGCCTTGACCGCGGAATGCACTGCGTCGAAGTTGCAGTCCTTGCGAAGTTGACAGGCCCAAATGGCTGCAGGTTGCGGTAGGGCAGTGCCTTGCATATCACATGTCATTCCTCACAACCAGAAATCACAGAAACATAGTGCAGAATTAAACCCAAGCAACACACAAAAAAAAGAATGCAGTGAACCAAACTCGATTCAAGGCGATAAAGTCGAATGCTGCCCTGCCTGCTTGACGCTGCGCCGAAGGTTTCAAACGATATGAAATAAACAGTTTGGTATCCCGAGGTCTCCAAAGTCCCACTTCATCTGGTATTGCAGATTCCCTGAGAAGTTCCTCTGCGTCGGACTTTTGTCCATCGCACAAAGTCTCAACCAGTTTTGTGGTGTCCGTTTCGGTCCATCTGTAGGCTCCATATGAGTGGTTTTGCTGACGAGCGATCCGAGTGGTAGCGCCATTCAAAAAACCAACCGACTCCGCTGCTTCTGCAGCCTGCACTGTAAAGATCACTTGGTGTCCGTGCTCGGTGGCGCCCCTTGCCAGCTCCTTCACCGTATCTTTCATCAAGTCACTTTGAACTCCGCTGTCCAGGACATTGTCGAAAACTAGATGTAGTCGGACGTTCTTCTTTCGAAGGGCGCTAAAAAAAGCAGGGGCAATATCTGCAGTCAAGGTTGCTCTGCTGATTCCCAAAAAACTGCTCCAGCTTCTCGAACAGATTGCCCTGCAGCACCACAAACATGTCATCCTTCTGCGTTCCTGCCACTTCAATGACTGCAAGAGTCGTGCAGACCGACTTCCCAGTGCCGGACTCGGCATAGACTGCTGAAATGCCCGGTGCATTGTCCAATAAAATTGCGACCATCAACCGTTCAAAGTGTGTAGATTGGTGTTGCTGGCAACTCAGTGTTGGATATCAGGGTTAAGGCATGTTGCACTGCTCCTAGCTTGAACCCAAACATGAAACCCCAAAAGAACAAAGCTCATCCGAAGCGGCCCAGTTTTTTTTGCCGGGATTGCTGAAAGTAGCACTGCTTCCAGGGCACTGGTGCGCCTGGAACAGGAGGCACATTGACCCCCGATTTTGGTGAAGGTAAGACAATGCGTGTCCTTGCATACAAATGCAGTGCTTGCGGGGCGCGGCATGCGTGCCCACGCCCCAGACCGAAAGTCCGGAGACTCGAGGTCGTCTGCTACCTACACGTTTTTTTGTCACACGCGCGCCTTGGGGCATTAAGCCATCGGTCACGAGAACGACTATACAATCATCGAAAGTGAGACGGGTGAGACCGAGAGGGCCAAAGTGCTGGTGAAATGAGCCAAACAAAGGAAAGGACCAAAAACACAACGCGGCAGACCACGAAGCAACACAACACGGAACCAAACGAAAAACCTTTCCCCAGCCGAGCAGAACGGAAAGAGACGAGCCAACGCGGCAATTAAAAGGGAGAGCGTGGAACATAGTTCCAGAAGACACTGACTACACCGAGGAGCTAGGCTTGTGAAGCATGAGCACATTAAAAATGGGAACATGCGCGCTCCAGACCGCAGGGGGCACATTTGCGCATCGTCAACCCCCACACGTGGCCACACGGCTGGAGCAACGAGCGCAATGTTCCAAAAATTTGGCAAAGCAACACACGGAAGAAGAAGGCAAAAAGGGCCAAGCAAGGGCCAGCAAAAGGCGAGCATGCAGTAAATTAAATTGTGCACAGGCATCACCCGGAGCACAGAGGCAGAAAGAGGCCGTGCAACGAATTACCCTCTCACTGACATCGAGCGGAGTTGCTATGGCCAGGCAAGTGTGACGGGCGTCACAGGCCTGGCCATCAAGCATTGCACACAAGACAAGGGGTGAGCGTGCAATGCACCATCAAGTTTGCACTATATGCTACGCAATTTCCGCAGGGACAGCGATGATCCCAACCGATAGTGAGGATGGGAGCCAAGCGCTGAAGCATTTTTACAAGTGCGTAGGTACACCGTGGCAAAATGCACAAGCGGGAAGCAGAAGCCCAAGGAGATCTGGCAGTGCCAAATACACCAGAGGCATTCTGTCCCATTGCGTAGGCGTCACGTTCGCACCACTGACAGGGGAATCCCTGCCACAGTGTACGTGAGCATGGCAAACCCGACTAGGCACCATGTCTGTCGCAAGAGCGTACCTAGCGGAGTAGCGACCATTCAAGTGCAGGTATGATGCCTAGAGGCATGGAGATTAGTCACAGATTAGAGGGCGGCTCAAACTTAGGTGGGCGCATATTCATCGAGAAGCAAAAGCACCCGCCATAGGGCCAGAGGGGGTATCACGCCTAGGAGCATAAAACAGGCGAGCGGGTAAGAGGCCAGAAGGCCTTGCCAAGCAAAGCACATCAAGGACCTCAGGGCTCATTGAAGGGAGAGAGGAGCCTCCAATCTGCAACCTTACATCGGCATGTTGGTCTATGGGTTGATGCACAAACACTCTGTGTTGCAGAGCGCGAGCAGTATTCCAGCGGGATTACCAAGTGGTGTGTTAGGGTTTAGGGTGCGCTGATCTGCGTGTCTTACCAGATTGCGGCACGACCAGGTTGGCCAAGTGCGGAAGCACAGAACAATGCACCAGGCAACAAGGCGAGCAGCCGTGCCGCTGGCACGATGGACGGCAGGGAGAACCACGAGATTGGGCAGTGCCCAATACACTTGGAAGCTCCCGCCTCATGCATCGCAAGGAAATGCCCCGAAGCGCGGGGCAGGTGCACTCTGGGTAGGTCGGATTAGGGGGTAGACCAGGCAAGGCATAGGACGCCTGGGCGATGCAAGTCCGATGCCGCAGAAATTGGCATGGGATGGGGGGCATGGTGGCAGGAAGAGATCGCGAGACCGGGCAGGGCACAGTACTCCACGACCCTTCTCCTGGGCCCTTACTCAGTCGACACTGCATAGGGGGTATAACGTACAAGGATGGTCAGAGCGTTGTCGACACTGGGCGGCACAAGCCCCGAGGTGCAGGCAGTACCTCAATGGACTACCAAGCGGCTGATACCTATCACATACGCACTGTTGAGCCAGAGCGGCGGGACCAAAAGTTATGCAAGGTTTCACCCGTCGGTGCAGCGGGGGCAAGTTTACGGGCCTTAGCGGGGCGGGATTCAGTGGTAACCAAGGCCTGGACCTCAGCTCGCCCAGGGAGGGGTCCTGGTGGTGGGTGCGGATCATGCTGGAGCTTCTCAATTTTAACTTGAAAGTGTGGGGGGGGCACGAGGTGAAGACCAAGGGAAGCCGCAATCAAGCAAGCCTCAAGGTCAACAGTCGAAGGCTCCGGCGAAATCAACAGGCCGTCATGGATAAAAACCAACGACCGAGGCTTGACCCTACGGAGTAATTCCCGAACCAGTGTGCGCATGAACGCTGCTTCAATGCCCTCAAGCAAGAAGTAAATGCGGTTGCCATCATGTAGCCCTACGTGAGATCGCAGAAGGTTAGCGTCTGTACACGCACGTAAAAAGGCCGGCTTAGCATTCGCGACACGTCGTAACAGGGCAACCAGCTCAGGGCCGGGGTTAAATCTGTTTTGCTCAAGCATTTGGGTGGCATGTTCAACAGAGCTATTGAGTAAAACAGTGGGCAACAGCTTAACGAGGTGTAAAGCGCTCCGGCCAGCTGGTGAGGCGGAAAGGTCTGCGTGTAAATAAGCCCGAAACTCATCTAGGCGAGGCAGAACCAAGCCTTGCTGCGCAACCATGTGCTGGAAAATAGCGTAACGCGCGCCACACATGTCAATTTCAACATGGTCGCTGTGGAAAAGCGCTGCGCGAACAAAACGCGGAAGCGCGGCTGCACCTTTAACGATCGGATAGGCCCTACCTAAACAATCATCACCATCGATCCGGTATGGGACCTGCTTGAGGACCGTGACCCCCTGAGCATTAGAGCCGACACACGCCCCCCCGGAGGCAATATAAGCTTCAAGCACAGCGCGGTATGCAGGGTGGTGGGCACGGATGTGCGCAAGATCCTGCGCATGGAATGTGGGGCACTCAACCAGGCAGAAGCTTGAGCGTTCAGAGAGAGCGATTGCTGCGGTGGACTGCCATTCCTCACCTGCCGGGGCAGGGAGGGAAATTGGCCGAGTGGCTTCGTTTCGCGCGGCAGCACTAGCAATGCCAGCGAGGAAGTCTGCTTCTTTATTGGATTCGCGGGGAACATAGCGCCAAGAGATCCGGGGAAGCTCCGTAGCTGCAATGAGCTGAGCCTGGTGCAGGACTGTGACTAGGGCCGGGCGTCGCACCCGAGCGGTGCGCCTCCAATAACTTAAGATGGAGGAGTTATCCCCAATGATGAGACATTCCTGTACAGCGGGATAATTGGGGTAAAGGCTCGCAAGGGCCTGGACCGCGTATGCACTTGCAAAACCCTCGGCGTGGTAGGAGTCCGGGCAGTCAGGAAGGGGGTAGGCCGTTTGGGCAAGGACCTCGTAGTCATCCCCCGCAAACTTCCGCACAATGACCCAGCACCTCCAGCCGCGTCAGCCCGATGACAGCTGCCGTCAAAGTGCGCTACCAGCACCTCCACGCGCGAGAAGCGCAAATAAGGGGATCGCCAGGCCTCACTACCTGTACGGCAAATACGTAGATATGGGCCACCCCGCACTCGCACACCCTTGCTTCGAGTGTAATGTTAGGCGTGCCGTGGTGATAAGCCTGAAGAAGGTGTCGCTCACGGCCGTGTTCCATGACAACCGCAAGCCACGACCCAGGCAAGGCCGACGAATCGCCCTGGTAGGTGAAATGTGGTATCTTTGGTGAGAGTGCATGGAGAGGCGCACCAGCAGCAAAGCGAACATGATCAAGCCAGACACAGCTACGGTGTGCGGAGGGTCCAACTAACCAGGCAGGGCGCACCCCCATTCTGACATCGCTGGGCAGCAGTTCGAAGGCACTGGCGACCAAGCAGGCAATGTGCAAAAGATCAAGGGAGCAGGCGGGTCGCCGTGCTTAGCTACGAGGCCCCCTCTCTGCCTGATTATGGCGCGGGCTCCGGCATATAAGGCATAGCATCTGGCAGATTGGGTTCTGGGCCAGTGCGCCTGCGGAAACCAATGAGAAAAGCGCCAAGAGCAACCGAGCAGCAGCGAACCGGCTACACCTAGACACGCACAAGAAGACATCCAGTGTTGAACACTGTTATCATCCCCCTTGTTTCGTGGCCCGACCCCCAGCCAAAGCAGAGGCCGACCTATCCAGGCGCGCCTGTGACAATGTTATCACCACCCTTGTTTCTGTGGCCAACCCCCAGCGCAATGCAGAGGCTGACCGTCCAATGTTCGAGCGCGCCTGCGACTATTGCGCAGGACTAGCATTAACAGGAAACGCAAATCCCAACGCAGGCCAAACTGAATCAACAGAAGCCGACAAAGTGGGGCAAGGTACACAATTGAGCATCCCGACAGGCTATTTACTGCGGGGAGAAGGATTCAGTACTGTACAACCGAGCTCCTACATGCGAAAGAAATGAGGTAAAATGAGATCCACGTGTCATGCTGGGGATACCGCACATCTGAGCAAGCGGAATTTACCCTCGGACACATTACCACAGAAAAGACCATTGCCATGCTGGGGATACCGCACATGCTATACAAGCGGAATGTACCCTCGGGCAGAGTATAAAGGAAATACAGTGAGATGCTCCCTCAGAAGCATTCAACCAAGCTGACCAGTATGCACATAAGAATCATCAATCGCCAGCAATGATAATGTATCTCCCTGGCACAGGTAGTGGGCGCCAAATAAATGAAAGAAACGTAGAATGTAAAAGCTCATATCGTTCCAAAGCGGGATGCACCCTCAGGAAAGTTGCCACAATAACCCACCGTAGTGCAAGGTCGTTCATGATGTCCACCAGGTGAGCCAGTACCAGTATGCAAAATGAAACACTGAATCATCCGTACATCCATGCCAAGTTGACTCTGCCAGGCGCGGGGTGGTTTTCACTAAGACACGAAGCATC